AAGTACGCGGGCCTCTCACTGTTGTGGCCTCTCCCGTTGCGGAGCACAGGCTCCGGACGCGCAGGCTCAGTGGCCATGGCTCACGGGCCCAGCCGCTCTGCGGCATGCGGGACCCTCCTGGACCGGGGCACGAACCCATGTCCCCTGCATCAGCAGGCGGACTCTCAACCACTGCGCCACCTGGGAAGCCCAAGTGGTTACTTTTTATGTGATTTTTAAAAAAGCTTTATTAATTTGTGAGGCCAGAGCTTTTCCCGCGCAGCCCCCCAGCACAGGACCGCAGGCGTTGTTCTGGGGCTGGGGGCTGAGCGGTGGCCTCTTGCAGACATAGTGTGCCTGAACCACGTGGAGGAGATCCTGGAGCTGGTGGCTACAGACCCACCCCCCGCCAAGGGCAACAAGTGGGTGGTGCAGAAGTACATCGAGACACCGCTGCTCATCTACGACACCAAGTTTGACATCCGGCAGTGGTTCCTGGTCACCGACTGGAACCCGCTGACCATCTGGTTCTACAAGGAGAGCTACCTGCGCTTTTCGACGCAGCGCTTCTCCCTGGACAATCTGGACAGGTCAGTGGGGGTCAGCTAGGTGCCATCGAGGGTGGGCTCCCACCAGCACCTGGAGTGCGAGGCAGGTCTCGTGTGCCCGGTGGGGTGCTGTGTCGTGCTCGGGCCTGGGGAGGCTACTCGACCTCCCTCTGCAAGGGGCGGGCCCAGGCCCCCTGCCCATCAGAGCCAGTGCCTTGCGCCCCCATGGGGTGTGCATCTTCTCCAGAAAATCCTGAAAGCACCGTCTGCCATGTGCTCGTGGGCACCAGGCACCCTCTGCGGTGGGTGCCACTGCCCCTCGCTGGGAAGGCTGAGTGGCCGGCCGTGCCCCTCTGCTGACCACACGGGCCGGGCTCGGGGTGCAGCTCTGCTTGCTCTCTCAGTCCCCTCAGCATGTGGAGGGAGGGGACAGGTAGGGCTCCTTTGGGAGGCTCCTGGGGAACAGCCCCTCAAATCCTGCAATAGACCCTGCAGGGCCTTCGCTTTGTGAGCACCCAGAGCCCTGGATGGGGATCCTGCGGGCGGGGAAGCTGCTGGAGTGTCTGGGGAGGTGGGGGGCGGCTCCCCGACGAGGCAGCGTGTGGGACGTGAGGGTGGCCTGAGGGGTCCTCTGAGGATGACCCCAGCGATGCGGGGTTAGGAGGGGTGAAGACGATGCGAGCAGTACCCGATACAGGGTGCGGGGGGTGCCGGGCAGCAGCTCAGACCTGCAGGAGTGGGTGCCCTGGGGTGGGTGAACCCAGCCCCACCAGGGTCCCAGTGCGGGCAGGCCGGGTGGGTGTCAGGACGAGAGCCCACCAGCGAAGTCTTGGGAATGTGCCATTCTCTTGAGAGAATAGCTGCTATCTCTCTTTCCAAATGGAGGGCCTCCGTGGCTCTGTTTTGTGACCACACGCGGGGTGCCCAGCTGGGTGTGCCTAGGCATCTTGGCGGGGGCTACAGGGGAGCCCGTCAGTATCACGAGGACTGAAAGTTGCTTCACAGAGACCTTGAGGGGGTTCACTGTGCTCAAGCTGGGGGCTGTGACCACACCTGGGGTCACACCTGGCAGGTGACACCTGGGGTCACACCTGGCAGGAGCAGGCAGCTGGGACAAGTGGTCCTGGCCGGCAGCTCAAGGAGCACATTTGTTCCCACCAGGCCAGGAGGGCCTGGAGGGGGGGTCCTGGGCTGACTGGGCAGTGAGAAGCCCACGGAGCCCCTTCCAGCCGGCCCAGCCCTGCCAAGCTGTGAGCTGAGTGTCTGGCAGGTCTCTTACCCTCTCTGAGCCATTTCTCCCTCCGGGACCATAACCCTCTCCCCAGGCTGACAGGAGATTCTCTGACACTGTTTCTGAACTGTGTCGGCTCCCTAACAGCACTGTTTGCAGCTTCCAAAACTCTTCCGTATGCCTGTATCTTGTTTCTTGCAACTGTCTTACGGGAGTACAGCTCTCTCATGGTCACAGGTGCGGTCTCACCACCCAGAACAAGATGGCAAATCCCCAGGCCCAAGGACGCGTTTAAATGAAAATGACTTTGAACAGGACCCACGTATTTTATAATCTCCTAGTAGATGCTATTCAATTTAAATCCTGTTTAGAACAATGCCAGCGTATAAACGAATTAATTGAAATTTTCAGTTAGCGAATCCTTCTAGCCTTGGGGGGCTCTGGCTCTCCTCCAGGGACAAGTGGGGAAACAGGCTCAGAGGGTGGTACTTGCTGGAGGCCCCTAGTTGGTGGCCCCGGGCTGGCTGGCTTCTGCCCTGCCCTCCCCGCCCCACCCCACGGTGGTCCCAGGCGGGACCGGAGGGCTGTCCTGAGGTTGCCTAGGAGGATTAGGAGAACAGGGAAACCGTCAGAACCCCTCCCGCAGCGGCGCTGTGCGGGGGTCACGGCCCTTGGGGGCAGGGGCTCGGGGGCGGAGCCTCGGGGCGGGGTCTGGGCGGGGCCTCAGGGTGGGGTCCCGGGGCGCCCGCTGTGAGGAGAGGAGCCTGCGCACCCGCCCCCCGACCCTGACGGCGGCCTTGCCTCGCAGCGCCATCCACCTGTGCAACAACTCCATCCAGAAGCACCTGAAGAACGACGAGGACCGGAGCCCCCTGCTGCCGGGTCACAACATGTGGACCAGCACCGAGTTCCAGGAGTACCTGCAGAAGAGGGGCCGCGGGGCCGTGTGGGGCAGCGTCATCTACCCGTCCATGAAGAGGGCCGTCACCAACACCATGAAGGTGGCCCAGGACCATGTAGACCCGCGGAAGAACAGCTTCGAGCTGTACGGCGCCGACTTCATCCTCGGGTGCGACTTCAAGCCCTGGCTGATCGAGATCAACTCTAGCCCCACCATGCATGCGTCCACGCCGGTCACGGCCCAGCTCTGTGCGCAGGTGCAGGAGGATACCATCAAGGTGGTGGTGGACCGCAAGGTCGACCGAAACTGCGACGTTGGCAACTTCGAGCTGCTGTGGAGACAGGTGAGGGGGGCGGGGTGTCCCTCTCCTGCCGGCCACCTCGGGGTGGCCCCTCCCCACGCCCCGGGGGCGTCTCACCCAGCTGGCCTTTGCCATCCAGCTTTCCAATCTCTCCTCCTCAGCCAACCCCAACTCTGTGGCCACCTGGCAGGGGGTCCTCTGGCTTGGCTGGCGGGATGTCCGTGGCCTCCAGGCCCCTCTAGGCTGTTCCTTTTCCGACCTGCAGTGTCCTCCGTCCTCCTGGGGTGAAGATCCAGCCTTCCTTCAGGGATCTTTCCAGGGGCCTGCTCCCCCAAGGAGCCCTCCTGCAGGCCAGGCAGCAAAACCCTGCAACCTGGCGCCCCTGGTGGGGGGACCCAGTGGGCAGCCCAGCCGTCGGGAAGTGTGGCCGGGGCTTCTCCCTGAGGCCTTACGCCTGACCGGCAGGCCAGGAAAGGGCCAGCCAGCACCCCTCACCTCATCCTTCCCTCCCCAGCCTGCAGTGGAGCTGCCCCCCTTCCCGGGGTCCGACCTCTTCGTGGAAGGGGTGGGTGTGTGGAAAGCCAAGAAGCAGATGCCGCCCATCTCCAACTTTGACTTTGCATCTCCGCTCTTGGACATTCATCCACCAAGGGAGAGGTGCCCCCCGGCCATGCCACACCTGGCTCCGGGACCACCACGAATGGCTCTCCAGCAAGACTTGAAACTGAAAGACGAAAAGGTACTTCCTTGCACCTTGCCTGTGCTCTAAAAGAGGCTGGCGGAGAGAAGTGCTAAAGTAAAGTGCGGCCACAGGGAGTTTGGGGAAGATAGAGCCCCCCACCTGTACCTTTCAGCACCTAGACAATAAGGCCCTGAGCTCTGCTCTTGCCAGGGCCGAATCAGACAAACACTTGGATCCAAACTTATTAAATGTGCACCCACTGCGTCCCTTCTTCCGAGCGTGAAGACAGTGGAGAGCGCTCAGTTTCAGCTGCCCAGACCATCAGGTAACAGTGCCGTTCTCGTGTCCGTCTGAGCCCTGGGTCTGCTTGGGGCTACCTGCTCTGCGTCCTCCAGGGCAGGCCGGGGCCTCTGGTCCAGCCTGAGCTCAGAGCAGGGTTCGGGGCACCCTGGCCTCATCCTGGTCCCGGCCAGTGTCGGGATAGTGGGGGTCCTGCAGCAGGACCAGGTGGGTAACAGCCTCCGTCTGTCTCCCCTGTGGGGTGTGGTGCCAATGGGGCGTTGAGTTTGAGGTTTGCATAGGCGCCAAGTGCCGCAGACAGGAGGGGGCCGGCAATCACTGGGCCCTCGCGCTGTTTTCTGAAGCTTCTGATGGAGCGGGCCACACGTGGCCCGGGAGCCTGGCCTGGGCTTGGCCTCCGGGCACAGGCAGACAGGTATGGAGTAGCCCCACTGGCGCGGTCTGGCACCCAGCAGTGGCCAAGAGAGTGACACCAGCCAGGGCCACGTCCCCACCTGCTCTGCCCCGGGTGCACCTGTCTCCCTGAACTCACCAGGACACCTGCACCTGCTGTGCCCACCCCCGCCCGGGTTCCCAGTGTGTGTGTGTGTCTGTCTGTCTCCCTGGCACTAACAGCCTCTTTGCCGGTCTGTCTGTCTGTCCCCATGGATTGTAAGCTCTCAGGGGCTGGGCTCTTGGTGCACCCCTGCACCTGCGGCCATGCCCGGCACATAGCAGGTGCTCAGTACATGTCTGTTGCATCAGCACGTGTGCGGGCCGCCCCCCAGAGTCGCCAGCTCCGGGCACGATGAGCGTGTGCTTTCAGAGCTGGCAGGGCCCTTGGGGGCCACCTCCAGTCCAGCCCGCCATCCTCACCCCATGTCCAATCTGGCACCAAGGTCTGTCAGCCCTACTGCTTAGCGACTTGCCTCTCCATGGGGGCAATTTCTAGGTTTTCTCTGTAATGCACTGTGCAACTTTCCCCAGGCATCTTCCTAGGAGTGAGTGTCCCCAGGGCGCACACAGCTTCTACCTAAATAGGTGTATTAGCTACTGTAACAAAGTACTGCAAACTTGGTGGCTTAAACCGCAGACATTTTTTCTGAAGGCCAGAAGTCCAAAACCAAGGCGTCGGCTCTCAGAGCCTGTAGGGAAGAAACTTCCTGTCCCTTCCAGCTTCTGACAACCCCTGGCAGTCCTCGGTGTTCCTTGGCTTACAGACGAGTTACTCCAGTCTCTGCCCTGCTTCACACGGTGTTCCTTCAGTGTGTCACTGTGTCCAGATTTCCCTCTTAAAAGGACACCAGTTGTTGGATCGGGTCCCACCCTCCTCTAGTATGACCTAACCTTACCTTGATTACATCTGCAAATAAGGTCACATTCACAGGTTCCAAGCGGACGTGAACTTGGCAGTGGCGGGGGGCGGGTATTAGACCTGGTGCACTGGGCACTGCAGGCGTGGCCAGAGGGACTGCACTGTGACCGTGGTCACACCGTGGCCACACTGCGGCCATCGCTCCCATTGTGCCAATACTTGGTGTTGACAGGGCATCTCGTTTGCCTCTGGAGGGAGTGATGGCACTCGTTTGCATTTTCCTGTTTACTAATAAAATGGCCTATATTCAGACATGCGTTGGCCAATTAGGGCTCCTGTCCTGAAAAGCACGTCTTTTGTCTGATCGTCCTTAGAACTGCGCATCTTTTCTGCTGATTTGAAGGGGTGACGGCCATCTGTTCTGGATTCTCCTCCTTTTTCAGTTGATTTGTGTGGCAACACTGTGTCCCACTTTGTGATCTGCCTTTTCACACCTTTATGGTGTCTTTGGATGTAAAGCCACCTTACTTTTAATAAACTCCGATAGGTCAGGCTTTCCCTCGACAGTTGGTCATTTCTATGGCTTGCGGCCTTACCCTGAAGTCGTGAAGCCCTCTTCTTCTAGGAGCATTGCTGTGGCTCATACATTCCAGCCTTGAACGTTCCTGGAGCTGACTTGCACGTGGTGTGAGGAGCCCAACGGCCCCTCCCCTGCTCACCTGCAGGCTGGCACTGTTGCATGTTGGCACCTCTGGACCTTCTGTTCAGCTCCACCGTTTTCTTTGTCTGCCTTGGGCCAGTGCCACAAGATCTTCATTACTACAGCTTTGTAGGATGTCTTTATGCTAGTCAGATAAGTCCTATGAGCTTGTTTTTCTTCCTTGAAAATGACTCAGCTGTTCTTGACACCCCTACACCTCCACACAGGTTACAGAATTAGGCTGTCAAGATTCACCAACATAATTTTTTATTAAAATTAAAATGTTTTTATTGCTATTAAATTCATCAGTTTGGGGAGAACTGACTTCTTTACATTACTGAGCTTTAGAATATGTGAACATGGTATATCTCTCCATAAATAAATCCTTTAAGATCTTTCAATAAACTCCTAGAATTTTCTTTGTAATGGTCTTGCACTTTTTCCGTTGGATTTAGACATATATTTTTTTATTTTTTATTCTATTGTAAATAGTATCAAATTAAAAAAATTTTTTCCTGAAAATTGTGGCTGGTTGATAGAAAGGGAATTGATTTTTACGAATGGATTTTTTTTTTAAGTTAATTAATTAATTATTTAATTTTTGGCTGCGTTGGGTCTTCGTTGCTGTGTGCGGGCTTTCTTTTGTTGTGGCGAGCAGGGGCTGCTCTTTGTTGCGGTGTGCGGACTTCTCATTGTCGTGGCTTCTCTTGTTGCAGAGCACAGGCTCCAGGCACGCGGGCTTCAGTAGTTGTGGCACACGGACTCAGTAGTTGTGGCTCGCGGGCTCCAGAGCGCAGGCTCAGTAGTTGTGGCGCACGGGCTTAGTTGCTCCGCGGCATGTGGGATCTTCCCGGGCCAGGGCTCGAACCTGTGTCCCCTGCATTGGCAGGTGGATTCCTAACTACTGCGCCACCAGGGAAGCCCTATGAATGGATTCTGTGAAAATCCATCTGGCTGTCATTTCTATCAATTCATTAATATATTTGAAGATTCTTTTGGTTTCTCACATACAGTTATATCAACTAATTCGTTTTCCTTTCCTTGCAATCATTATACCTTTCATATCATTTTCTTACTTTTTTGACTGTCTAGGACCTTGTTTATTCATTCACTTTTCTCATCCCATTAGATCTCAGGTGCATACATTCTGATTAATCATAATTCTTGGTTCATGACATAGTTTCATTGTTTGTCCTTGCATGGCCTACTTTTTTTTGGATCGTTTTAGAAGTGTAATTAGAACTTGCACACAGGTTTTAATTTGATTTTTAATGTGGCTAAAGTTATCAATCTTTTTCTTCTAGTCAGTGCTACTTTGTCTTAAGAAATTTTTCTTTACCCTGAGGTTTAAAAGATTGTTTACCTACATTTACTACTAAGAGTTTTACATTTTGGGGCTTACTTGGTGGCACAGTGGTTAAGAATCCTCCTGCCAATGCAGGGGACATGGGTTTGAGCCCTGGTCCAGGAAGATCCCACATGGCCCCGTGTGCCACAGCGACTGAGCCTGCTCTCTAGAGCCTGCGAGCCACAACTACTGAGCCCACGTGCCACAACTACTGAAGCCCGCATGCCTAGAGCCCCTGCCCTGCAGCAAGAGAAGCTACCACAATGAGAAGCCCAAGCACCGCAACAAAGAGTAGCCCCCGCTCGCCGCAACTAGAGAAAGCCCGCACGCAGCAACGAAGACCCAGTGCAGCCAAAAATAAATAAATAAAATAAATTTATTTTTTAAAAAAAGAGTTTTAAATTTTGTTTTTGACATAAATGCCCTAATCCATTTGGAGTTGACTTTTGTATATGGTGTGAGTTAGGAATCGAATTTTATTTTTGTTCACGTAGAAAAATTTTTCAGTTATTTTTTGAAAAATTTATTTCTATCCCCCTGTGAACTGGTATCCCACCTGTGTGTATGTGTGGGTCTATTTCTGTAGTCTCTATTCTGTTCCACTGGTGAGTTTGCCCCCCTGCACCAGTGCCACACCGCCTGTTGCGTCTGGTAGGGCAAGTTGCCTCTCTCTGCTTATCTTCATAAGGGTCTTGGTCCTTCCTGACCTCATTCTTTTCTATATAAATGTCATAATTGTTTTATCAAGTTCAACAAAAAAAATCCTATTGATATTTTGGTTGGATTTGCATTGACTCCGTGGATCAATTTGGAGGAAATGGATAAATTAATGAAATCATATCTTTCTACCCATGAACATGACATATCTCTCCATTTACTTAGATCTACTTTAAATTTTAGAATTTTCCCATCAGAGATCACAGACATCTTTTATTAGATTTATTTTTCTCACTAGGTATTCAGATACTATTGCACATGGTGTCATCTCTATATATAAATTTTTGCATTGCTTGCTGCTGTCATATAGAATGAAACTGACTTCTGTATATTAATTTTCTACCTGCCACATTTCTAAACTCTCCCATTATTCCTAAAAATGTGTATGTATCTTCTTTTGAGTTTCTATGTAAATAATTATATCCTGTGTAAATTGCTTTCTATCCTCCACTCCAACCTTCTTGCCCCTATGGTCTTGCCTTACCGTACTGGCTGGTACCTTCTACACAATGCTGGGCACCATTGTTGAATTTCTGATTTTAAAGAGAATGCTTCTAACATTTCTCATCTATAATGACATTTTCTGTAGGTCTTAATAAAGCTATAAATACGATACATACATATAAATGTATAGATACTCTAGCACGTTAAAGTAGTTTCTTTCTAATCCTTGCCAGGAATTTTTATTACAAATGTGTAGTGAATTTTCTCAACAATTTGTTTTGCATCTATGAGACTATGTTAAGTTTTTCCTTCTTTGTACTATTAAAGTGATAAATAACATCAATAGATTTTTCTTTTTCTAAGAAGTTGCCTGTAGCACTTAACACCAATCCGTTTTTGAATGTTAAAACAACCTTGCATTCCAGGAATGAACCTAAGTTGGTTTGATGTTGAGTTTGGTACATGTCCGGATGTGGTTTCTTGCATGCAGTTAAAATTGGTTCTCAACCACAGCTTATTTAC